AAGGCAAACGCTTAACCAACTGAGCCACCCAGGCGCCCCATAGGATACTTTCTTTTTAAAACAAATCATAATACCATGATCATACCTTAAAAAATTTAAAATTCCTTAATATCATCATATACAGTGTTCAAATTTCCCATTGTCTTATAAATGTCATGATTTTTGTGTATGCAATCTAGTTTAAGTTCTGAAATTTGTGTAGTCTGTACGGTAACTTTCAAAGAACTCTACGTTATTAACCAGAATACCACTTCCCCAAGAGATAACAAAATCTAATGTAACAATAAGAGAACTATGAAATAGAACAATCAACTCTTAAAGTACAAAGATATTTATAAAAGTTACATCCTATGTCTAAATAGATTGACACCAGTAATTACAAAAACCAAGCATTCTAGTCTTATCTAACTGGTTCTTTTAAGTCATTTTTATTTTTTTAAAGATTTTATTTATTTATTTGAGAGAGAGAATGAGATAGAGAAAGAGAGCATGAGAGGGGGGAGAGTCAGAAGGAGAAGCAGACTCCCTGCTGAGCAGGGAGCCCGATGCGGGGGCTCCATCCAGGACTCCAGGATCATGACCTGAGCCGAAGGCAGTCGCTTAACCAACTGAACCACCCAGGCGCCCCTCCCTCCCCTTTTTAAAAGATTTCTTTAAATCATTTTTAAAGTCCAAAATCTTCAGCTTTCAAAGAACAGGAATCAATTGAGAACTGCAACCTTTCTCATTAAAAAGTTCCCTCCTTGGGCGCCCGGGTGGCTCAGTTGGTTAAGCGACTGCCTTCGGCTCAGGTCATGATCCTGGAGTCCTGGGATCGAGTCTCGTATCAGGCTCCCTGCTCAGCAGGGAGTTTGCTTCTCCTCTGACCCTCCCCCCTCTCATGCTCTCTCTCTATCTCATTCTCTCTCTCAGATAAATAAATAAAATCTTTAAAAAAAAAATTAAAAAAAAAAAGTTCCCTCCTTAAGGCTTCTAAGGGTAAAAAGACAAGACCCACATTCCACACAAAGAGAATTCAAAAACAGGGTCAAAAACTCAAAACCTACAAGGGCTAAGCAAGTTAACTAATTAAGTGGGCTGAAGTACAACTGAGAATGATAGGCACTGTAAACTGCAAAGTATACAACTTATTTAAAGGGAGCTATTGTCAATTTCAGCATAATGTTGTCATGCAGAAACTAGGACCCAGGGTTGCCAGATCTTTTCAATGTTGACAACATAATAATAATAATAAGAAAAAAAAATATCGTTCAGGCTAAACAAACATTATCTGCAAGCTACGTACAATCTGCAAGGAACTGCTGTGGTACCTCTAGTCTAAAAGACTAAATAATCCTCACAAAACTAAGCCACAGGAGTACCTTTATTTACCTATAGATTGTATAGATGGCCAAAACAGCATTTCTTCTAACATAGCTGTGTCGGTGCTCCAAACAAGCACGGATAGCTGGCATTAAAGGTTCTAGCAATTCTGCTTCTTTCAATTTGCAAAGAAAACGAAGAGTGGATCCTCGAATAAATTCATTAGGATGCTGAAGATCCTGATAAAGTTTAAATATGAAATGTTGAGTTCCAGCATTTTACAAAACAACACACAATTAAGTGCAAAATTTCCTATGAAAAAAATAAGAAAGTAAGTTTGTGGAAAAAGATCTAGATTATCAGACAATTTCCTTCAGATTCCTGTCAAATCAATTTTTACTTATCACATCAATGTCTCATATTTTATGTGTCACTGGTTTTTTTTAATTAGTAACATAAAAATGCATGAAAAATGTCCAAAGAAAGTTACAATAAAATTTTTTACAGTAATTTTTTACAACTTCAGTTCCAATTATCGGTAACTTAGATCTTATCCCAGATTTAATTTTAAAAATTAAAACAAATCCCATTCCACGAATTTTACAATTAAAATCAAAGCAATATTCAGAAATAACCATGGTTTGGTTTACCTTTCTGTATGCATCACATACAAGGATCATTTCATGTAAAAGTCTCCCATCTGGAGTTGTTTTAGGAACAATTTCCCAAAATACCAGAAGTAATTTTTTGATGGTATGATCCTGAAGAGGTAGCACAAAACGAATGATGGTCATCAGAAGTCCAGGAAGCTTTTCACCATTCAGAATCATGATGATTACTTTCTTCAAAGCTTCAGTCTTTGACTTCACATCTCCTTTTTCTGATTCAAAAAAAAAAAAAAAAAAGCACAATCACTTCAAAGGAAAATTCTCCAGATAATTTTACAATTCACAAAACATTTTCTCACTTTACCAGCAGTAATGATAATAAAGGCACTAAAGAAAGTGACAGGGGGGGCACCTGGGTGGCTCAGTCGTGAAGTCTGCCTTGGCTCAGGTCATGATCCCAGGATTCTGGGATCGAGCCCCGCATCGGGCTCCCTGCTTGGTGGGGAGTCTGCTTCTCCCTCTCCCACTCCCCCTGCTTGTGTTCCCTCTCTCGCTGTGTCTCTCTGTCAAATAAGTAAATAAAATCTTAAAAAAAAAAAAAGAAAGTGACAAGGGTTCTTGACCTAGCTCTGCCAAAAACAAGCTGAATGACTTTACACAAGTCATTTATCTCTGAACCTCATGTTACTTTACATAGAATATGAAGGCACTGGATTAGATCTCTGGTCCCTAACCCATGGAGTTAATGTAGAAGCCACTAATCTGTAGGTATACCAAATGATGCATGTCTCAAACACAGATGTAGCTATTTTTCACAGTGTAAATAGATGCTGTTAGAATAAATGGCTTCTGATATCAACATTGCTTTTAGTCAGCTGTGTATTTCCTCAAAGTAACCACCACTATCATGAGGAGAGGAAGGGGAGGATCAGTGGCATTTTTTTTTAACATTAGATCTTCAAACTCAAAAAGGCTGGGAACTAATACACTAAACCCAAAATCCCATCATATTTCTACGGGACTATAAATCTTCTGTGCTCGCTTCAGCAGCACATATACTAAAATTGGAACAGACTACAAAACTTCAGAATCTTTCTTAAGAAATCACCTAAAAAACTGGAAGAAAATTAAAATGTACTAGATAAGTAGACATTATTTAGAATTAAGGATGAGATATTTAAGATACTAGCTTATTGTTACTTAGCTTAAAGCAATTTACACTATAAACTATATTATGCAAAACAATCTATAATTTCATCATTATCACTGCATACTGAAGAATTTATGGTAAAAATATTTTGTGTCCAAAATTCAAAGGCAGGAATGTAGGAGGCAAGCACATCGCTACAACTGCTTAGATCACAGAAATAAGCAAATATCTAGGAGACGGGAGGACAAAGAGGGATGACGAAGTTTTTAATAATCTTACAGTTATCATGAGGAAAAGAACAGAACTAGGAATACATTTCCAACAATTAGAGCTAAGTGGCTATCAAATGAAGAGTTCCTTGTTGTTGCCAAAGAGACAAGAGACTGTGAATGACCAGCTGGTATTTACAGAAAGGATTTAAGTTTTCAAGAATTATAGTAGGTAAATCAAAATTTCTTTCCAGCCCCCAAGGGCTCTATATCTATTACTAGCTTGGTATGATATTTTCACATGTTGCAGAATAGAGAATATTCTCAGGTTCTCAATTTGTGTTCAACTGAGAACACAGTAAGGGTTCTTGCCAAACTTATTCCACAAGGGCGAACATTTTTGTTTAAAACACACTTTCTCATGCATCTCTCCCTGCTTCAGAGTATCATATCTCCTGCCACATATGGAAAAAAATTGGTATTGACATAGCAAATCAAGAAACAAACAACTGGGGGCGCCAGGGTGGCTCAGTTGGTTAAGCATCTGTCTCTCAGGGTCCTGGGATCAATCCCCGCATCTGGCTCCCTGCTCCCACCGGGAGTCTGCTTCTTCCCCATCCCCCCAGTTCTCCCCCCCTGCTCGTGCATGCATTTTCTCTCTCTCTCTCAAATAAATATATAAAATCTTAAAAAAACAAAAAACTGTAAAATTATGGAGTACCAATCTGTGCAAACCTTCAGTTTTTAAGTCTGTGAGGATGACAAAAACAAAGCATCAGGAAAGGTGACAGTAGCTGAGAGCAATCACCCTGATAATAAGACAGATTGGGCAAAGTTTTAAGTGGCTAAAGTTGTATTTGCTGAGCCTAAATAGGTTTTCTTATCTTTGCCCTGAGCTTCCTTTCTGAATATTAAAAAAAAAAAAAGTTTTTTTTCCTAATCTGTTTGATAGCATAAAGGACACAAAGTCCAAAAGGCATAAAACTGTTATCATTATAAAGCTGATGTCTTCTTTCGTTCCAGTTTTTGACTACTTTTCCCAAATTAGCAAATCCTAAGGGTTTAGCAGGATAAAGCTCCACTTGTTACTACATGTTAAAAAGTTTTAGAAGTTTCATAGAAAACATGTAAAAAATCTGTATCATTTACAATTCAAGCCCCCTTAGCCCCGATTTCCATTTATTCCAACAATTCAAACTGAGGTGAAGGATGTTTTTTTCCTACATCTTCAAACTTTTCAGAACTTTTCTTCCATACACTACTAAAAATACGGAAAATTTCAAATATTAATTCAATTCGCCAAAATCTACCAAGTACTTCCTACTCCAGGCTATGTATGGTCATCAGATCTCATGTCCAGTGACTAAAAGCATAGGTAAAGTAACTCAATATTTCACAAAAAAGGATTTGTTACTCAAATTGGAAACTACTTCTAAACTTTTTCTCACCTCAACTCTTAAGATACAGTAAAAAAAAATACAGATAAAATTTGAGATTTGAGACTACTTATTTAGTTCTTGATGGGGGAAGACAGTTAAGGCAGCTGTAATTAAGAAAAAGGTATTGTTGGGGCGCCTGGGTGGCTCAGTCGGTTGAGCGACTGCCTTCGGCTCAGGTCATGATCCCGGAGTCCTGGGATCGAGCCCCACGTCGGGTTCCCGGCTCGGCGGGGAGCCTGTTTCTCCCTCTGACCTTCCCCCCTCTCATGCTGTTTCTCTCTCGCTCGCTCTCTAATAAAAAAAAAAAAAAAAAAGAAAAAGGTATTGTTACAATTAAGGGCAGGTTTTGTTCTTAATCTTCCCAGCTGTAACCTTAAGTATCTGGGAGTCTAAAAGTGAAAACTTTTTTTTTTTTTTTTAAAGTAAGCTCTATGCCCAACATGAGGCTTGACCTCAAGATCCTGAGATCAAGACTGCATTCTCTACCCACTGAGCCAGCCAAGTGCCCCGAAAACTTTTAAATTATAAGAAAAAAAAACAGTAATGAAAGTTTATTCATTAACGTGCATTCCATTCTACTATCATACATAAACATGAAAAAAAAAAAAAGATCTGTGGCTTTTGTATATAGGGGTATAGGTTTAAGTGCCATAAAGGAGGGTTTCTTTTTCCTTCTCTAAAAATGGATCTCTTGGGTGCGTGGGTGGCTCAGTTGGTTAAGCGTCTGCCTTCAGCTCAGGTCATGATCCTGGGGTCCCTGGATCGGGCTCCCTGCTCAGCAGAGAGTCTGCTTCTCCCTCTGACTCTCCCTTTCTCATGCTCTCTCTCTCTCACGCTCTCTCTCTCAAATAAATGAATAAAGTCTTTAAAAAAAAAATAATAAATAAATAAATAATAAAAATGGATCTCAATAGAAACCTAATATTAAGTAGCCTAAAATCAGGATATTCCATTACTGCTGATTAAGAGGTGGGACTAGGCAAGTAAAATATTGTCTCCTTTCAAATGGCAAACTACCTTCTAAAAGATACTTTCAAGATGTGAAGCATAATTTTCACTCTTCGTCTTAAACAGTAGTTACCAGTTTAAGTTAAACTTATTTTTAGTAGTTCAACGAAACAAGAACCATTATTTTGGAATGTGCATTACCTTGAAAAATTATTTTCACAGAATCACTCACAGAAAGGATACAGAGTATACACTTTTAAAATCCAGAAATATACTTGTTTTCTTTTTGTATAAATGCTTTATAAAAGCTTAAACCTTTTTAAACCTCAAATACTCAAAAAGCTTAAAACTTTCTGGAAAACACATGTGTATTCCAGGGGTGACTTCATTAGTTCAGTAGGTGGTAAACCCAAAGAACAAAGTTCTTTTAGTTTTACAAGCTAAGTAATATGAAGTTAAGTGCACAGAGGAACTGAGACATTCAAATACACATTCTCAACCTGTTACCTACAGAGAACGGTCAGCTACACTTAAGCATAACATATTAAACTACATAAGCCATTATGTTATTTTGAGGAATATCTAACAACTATTACATTTCTTTAGCTTTACTAAGCTAAGCTGAGATGCTGTTTTATTTCCAAAAACCAATATTGCAAGTCTAAATGTAACAAGTTTTTTTTTTCTTTTTCTAGATTTTATTTATTTGAGAGGGAGCCAGAGAGAGAGCACAAGCGGAGGGGAGGCGCAGAAGGAGCAGAAGACTCCCCACTGAGCAGGGAGCCTGAAGTGGGGCTCAATCTCAGGACTTGGGATCATGACCTGAGCAGAAGGTATAAGCTTAACCGACTGAGCCACCCAGGCGCCCCAAGTTTTCATTTTTAATAAGACCAAAGTTCTACTGAAGAGATCCTAGAAAAAACTAAAATATTTCTAATTACAAATAAACTTGAAATGGAAATGAGCCTTTTATTTTCATTTTTTCTCCATTTAATTTTCATAGTATTATCAGAGTTTACCTAGATCATTTTTTAAGCTAATTTCAGATGGTGGTTCTGAATCCATGGGCACGTTAATTAACGTATAGCACACGTTCTCGGCAGCCGTCATGGTTTCCGGATATAATCAAACCTCGATACAAGATTTAAGGATGACTGATGCCAGAAAATCTAGAAAAATAGAAGGATATCATTACAAGTAAAACAAAACAAAACAAAACAAAAACACAACCAGTAACTATCGTGATCTTTACTGTCTAAAGTTCATTCAGTTTGGCTGAGTTTTAAAGTATTAGAAGGGTAGGGTCAATTTATACTGTGTCCCATAAAAATAATGCCTATTTTAATAAAAGACACGCCTGTCTGCCTCGGTCTAAGGTATAGACCCCACAACCCCGCCCAGGGCTTGAGAATGCTGTACTGCAACAACTAAGGCCCACAATACAGTGACAGTCCCCCAGTCCCGCCCAACCACGTAACAGAACAATGGTTTTTAAACATAACACACAATCTGAATTGCTCAAGTTAAGAGACCCTGTGCACGAATACTCGGCTAAAAACCTTAAAACATTTTCTTGCGTTCATGGGTGGACCCGACTGTGTGTCGGCCAGTCAATCAGTATGCTGCACCCCCACCCCCTTCCCTTCCTCCAGCAAAGCAGCCCCCGGAATGATGAGCCCCGGGGCCCCGGGAGGGATTAGACCCCTGGCCAGTACAAAAGACCGGGAAAGGGCGTCCGGCCCAGAGCTTCCCAGCCCCCCGTTCCACTTCGCCAGGCCCGGACGCGAGCGGCCTAGTCGCTCCCCTTCCGCATCTTCCCGCCGGAGAGCCAGTTCCTCCGACTCAGCCCAGCCCAGCACGCCTCGGGGACTGGGGGCTTTTGGCCCGCTACCTGGCTCCAAGGGGCGGCGGCTACGGCAACGGTGGGACCGTGGACTCCGGCTCCAACCCGCAGCAGCAGCCGCTGCTCCGCACAGTCCTAGGCTGACGTGGAAGGGGGTGGGGTGACGAGGCCAAGCCACCTAGCACCTACGGCAACACAGAGAGGACAAGCCTTCTCCGTCCTGCGCCTGCGCTCTGTAAGTATGCCGCAAGTTTCTTCCTTGTAGTCCACGGCAGTTTTAGGTGGCAGGGGGATCTGGGAAGACATTAAGCTTTCCCTGCAAGCCAAACGCCGAATTAAGCGCTGTGGTCATTTACATGCTACCTAGAAATTGTTTCCTCTTCCAGGAACTACAACAGCCAAGGAAGGAAGTGCTCAGAAAGGGAAGCCCATTTTATAAGGGCTGTATGGTCCAGGGGGAAAGAGCAGTAGACTGCGAGAACTGGAAGCCCTTTTGTAGCTCAGAGAAACAGGGAAAGTAACTAATTATTATCTGGGAAAGTCACTTCAGTTCTTCTAATAAGTGAGGGTAGATTCTGTGAAGATCCATTTTAGTTCTTAACGTCTCCAGTAGTCTCAATCTCTGCCTCTGCAGTTAGGCTGGGGTTGCTGGGACATCGAAGTCGCACTTTATTTCGTAATGGTCCCTTTCACGCTTTCTGAGCATCCAAGGGATTAACTTTTTTTTTTTTCTCAAAAAGGGAGATTGACAGTCACTGTTTTAAAGGATTTTACCTTTCTCCAAAAACCCAATTGTTATAGCTACTATCGGCCGTAGCACCTTCGGTATTGCTCATATGAGGTTCCATATGCCCCCACGTAGCACTTCCCCCTCAAAAAGTTTTCTGGCCAATTATTATTAAAGAAAAATCTTTTTTGAAGCCTTGAGCAAAATACTGTGAATAAAAGACATCTGACAGAACTCGCCCTTAACAGGCACACTTCCGTTAAGAAGATAGAACACAAATAGTGTCTCATGTATCTAGATTCCAGCTATTTGAGATTTCTTCTTTTTAGAACCATCAAGCAAAATATAAATTCTTTGAGCACCCAAAATATATCACAAAGGCCATGTGTTTACAGCACTTTCTAAGAATGTTCTTCAAATCCTATGTATTGATTTTTTTTAAAAAAACCTTTTATCTTGAGATAATTGCAGAGTGACCTAAATACAGAGATCCCATATATTCTTCCCCTAATTTCTCCCAGTGGTAACATTTTGCATACAGTTCAATACCAAATCCAGGAAGTTGACATTGATATAATTTACTCCTCATTCAGATTCACCAGTTTTTACATGCACTCTACTTGTGTATTTAGTTCTAGGCAATTTTACCATGTTTAGATTCATGTGACCTCCACCAGGCATGATACAGAACAGTTTTAAGGATCCCTCCTGCTATCCTTTTATACAGCCACTTCCCTCCTTAACCCCAGCAACTACTAACCTGTTGTCCCTATCTCCGTAATTTTGTCATTTCAAAGATGTACAATGTAACCAGTGAGATCGTTTTTTCATGCAACATAATTCCCTTGAGATCAACCCAAGATGTGTATACAACAGGTTGTTTCACTTGTGTATTCATGTTTAACATGAAATTTTTACAAGAACAGTATCTGGTTTCCAAGCCCACTTATCAAGAAGTGACAATCTGTTGGCATGAAATGAGGCCCCCAAAAGCATAAAAACTAGATTTAGCAATAAGAAAGCTCAGCAGTGTAGAACCACCATAGTGTAGGACCAACCATACCCACTTCAATCGCCCTGGAGGCTCATTGTGTTACAGAAGAAAATTTGAAGACTTATCCTGACCAAGTCATTAAGGAAACTATTAAATATGAAAAGACAAGAAAACATAATGTGGTTTATAAAACCTCATTTTAAGTCTGCACTTAAAATGTCATTGGCAGCGTATATACATTGTTGTATACTTTTTTTTTAAGATTTTATTTATTTCTTTCACAGAGAGCACAAGCAGGAGGAGTGGCAAGCAGAGGGAAAGGGAGAAGCAGGCTCCCCGCTGAGAAGAGAGCCTGATGTGGGGCTCCATCTCAGGACCCTGAGACCATGACCTGAGCTGAAGGCAGACGCTTAACCGACTGAACCACCCAGGTGCCCCACATTGTTGTATATTCTTAAATACAGAGCTTGTTCAATAGATATCAGGACCTTATATAGCCGATTTCTTCCTGACTTATAATATGCACCTTGTCTTGGGTCTTATGTTTACTCTAGTATGTAATTGTATCATTCTTTTTTTTTTTTTTT